ATTATCGTTTTTTTGTCCTGTCTTTTGTAATTCTGTTGCACTGTAGAAGTTCTGTCACGAAAACAAATAGCTTGTATGTGTGAACATACCTGGCAATAAAGCTCTTTCTGATTCTGATTTTGATTCTAAAACTATCAAAAATGACACAATCTCTCATATTTGAGGTACAAGGAGACTTTCTGTAAGCTTCACCTCTCTTTGCTCCTCCCTTATGGAATGATCTGCAATCTCTCATCATCACAAACCCTCAGCACAAAACACAATGCTAGTGATGAGATGTGAGTCTTTTTTTGTCTCTATTGGACAGTTATTTCAAAGATGTAGTTTAAAAAAAATTCAACATTTTAAGCACACCACTGGGGACTCATGCATTGTACCATAAACCTCCACTATATGGATTTTGTCTGCTAGGGTACCCTGCAGCTGTCTTTACCAGCCAACTTTCAATTCAGCTATTCTCTGTCCAATCACAAGGCAGTGTACAACCCAACATGCCATCATAAATCAGTTCCTGCACAATAAAACAATCACAAGTGTCACAATTCTTTATATAGTTCGAGGCAGTTTTCAAAACCTACAGTATATCCTCACTGCCAACATTTCTCCTCAACTCACACTCTCTCTCTTCCTTATAAATCCTCCAACTCACCTCAATATGGTCACAGTACATGTTCATTGGTGCAAGAGACAGTGTTAGTGATGAGAAGTCTGACTTGTTTCTGTGAATCAGCTCTTTTGAACAGTATAATTCAATGAAGTGCTTTAAGAAAAAAAAGATTCAGCATATCTTGTGTACTGATGCATTATGAGGTAATCTTTTAGCAACCTCTCCTCCGATCAGTTTGTCACTTTTTCTAAAATATGAATCAAAGGGGAATTTACTAAAACACTCACCATACTGTAATGCAGTTCATCAGGGCTATTTTATTAGTTTGTCATGGGGGCATCAGCATCCCAAGCGAAGGACCGGAGAGATATGACTTGCTATATGAGTGATGATGCAACTGCATATAAGAGCTCATATGCTGTATTTTTGCTCCTTAAGACATCCATGCTGGCTTTTTCTACATTAAAATGTTAATACACTGTATTTTGAGACTAAATAATATCAGTGCATTGTACAATAGACTTTTTGTTTTTTTACAACCATTCAAACGTTGTATTTCAGAGCACAGCAAAAGCAGGGCAGTGCATTAAGTAGGCTTCTTCTACATTCAGACACATTTATATGTTATGTTTTGTACTGCATGACAACTAGGGATGCAACAATTGTAGATTTTTGTTGTACGATTATATAGTTTGAAGAATAATCATGGTTTTAGGGTTATCATATCTAATGTAAATTCAAGCTTTATATTAGGTAAGTAGCTATTTAGATTAACTGTTGTTGCCATCTGCGTTCATACATGCATAATCATAGTCTTACATATCTTTTGTTTACATTGCACTGAAAGGCACGCACAGCTCTCACCGTCAGATGTGCCTGGAAAGCCGCGAGCGTGTTGCTCCGCTTGTGCACGCTTATTGTCATATATTCTTACATTAGAAACAAGAAACTTGCAAGCGGAAAAAGACGTGATATGGAAATAGCTGCTGCTATAGTTAATCCAGTGTGCGTGTGTATTAGCCCTCGTGTACAAGCTTGGAACTTGTAACTAGCGCACAGTTCGCAACTTGCCATAACTTTGTTAAATTGCAGCAGTTTCATTTCGTTCCATGCTACAGAAATGCAACTTAGAGAAGACTTTATGATTTATTAACTGTAACGATTTAAAGCGCAGTTAATAGTTAAATTGGCTAATTGTTGCATCTCTGTCAACGATATCAGTGCATTGTACAAAAGGCCTTTCCTACAAACATATGCAAATGTTTTTGGCTGCCCATGCCACTCGCTTCTGGTAACTCACACTCTGTGCAACCTTCAACTGCAGCTCATGCTCTATTAAACAGAGCACGTCACTCCATAACTATAGCGGCTGTTTTTCGACTGAACTAAATTTAATTTTGATGTTTCGGTCACACTGTTTGGAGGGCCAGAACAAATTGTCTCGCGTGCCGGGTTCGGCCTGCGGGCCACCAATTGAATAGCCCTACAGTATGTCCTTTCATCTATTTAGATATTGGGAATTCATGTAGCTTGATTGGTAGAGCATTGCATTTATGAAGCAAAACAGCGACGGGCTTGATTACAACCATTATTACAAATCAATTCGTGTGTAGTTAATGGACACTTGATCAATGGTAAATGCCTTAAATCAATTACAAGTGACACATTTTCTAATGTTTGATGTACAAAACACTGAAGCAAGCTTCCAACCATCCATATAATCTATTGAGAGTATCACATTTATCAAAGAACAGCTAAAACTGCACACACACACACCCTTTCATTCATTCCTCTCAAGGTTGCCTTCCAATCTATATGTCTAATAAAAGTGCCATTGTATACATTATTTGCCCTGTAACGAATGGCTGTTGTTCCCCTTTTGTCACTTTGGTTGCAAGAATCTGCTAAATGCATAAATGGAAGTCTACAATGTCACCATCCAAGCTTTCTGTTCAACACACTGGCACATGTTTGAGTGTTTAAAGAGCTGTTTTAAAGACAGCATCTTTCAGACTAGCGCCGGAATTTCCCAAATACGCTGGCATTTTGCGATGGCAGTAAGCGTGTTTACTGTGAATATGGAGAGGAAGTTGACACACCTGACAGCCGACATCTGTACACTCGCTCTAACTAAAAACCGGCTGCTCCTTCTGTCCGCTCGACACAACAGCAGGAGCTATTTCTCTTTGTAATGGGCGTCAAGTGAAATCAGTGTGTGTTGGGAACAGGCTGGAAGAGCGGACGCGTGACACGTGTTTACGTGTAGCGGTTTCCACCACACTCTGAAGACGTATGGTGTAATCAGGTCTTTTAGTGCAGCCCATTACTAAACTGAGATGTTAAATTACTTCCATTACACTTTAACAGGTCCAACCGCAGCCGCTCGCCCTCATTCACATTAATGAGATGTGTGTACATGTGTGTGTGTGTGGGTGTAAAGCTGCCATTCGCAATTCTTTGCTAGGTATTTGCACGTATAGGCCACACTTACAAATGTATGTAATTTCATTTCATTAGAGGTAAAAGTGCACATCAGCAGTGGCATAGAAGCAATTGTTAGATGCATGAAGTCGGTCATGAAAGATTACGCAGGTGATGAAGCAGTCAAACCATTATTGAATTCACTGTACATTGGTGCTGTAGTGCCATCAAAAAGAAACAAATATGAAGATCTTAATCGTATAATGTTACAAAAGAAAGTAAATATTTTCTGAAAATAAAAAAACTCATGACTAATAAGTACAAAGTCTTATAACACTGTAGCACATAATTTCAAAAGAAATTATTATATATGATATTTTAAGAAAAAATAGATATGTTTTGGTCTCATTGCTCTAACATTTTGAGAAAATAAACCTGATCAAGGTCATTTAAAAAACAATACTACTTCAAATGTCATAATGTTGTTTAATCGAATTTAGAAGAGAAATGCCTTGCAATAATATTGAGAGAAAAAATACTATAATTTAATAATGCTTTATAATAGTAGTCTGACTGTTTTTTTTTTTTTTTATTAGTATTCTGACAGGAAAATACATAAATTACATGCAGCCTCTTTATTGTCTTAATTCGGACTATTATTTTAATATTACTTATTTTATTTATTTGTATTTTCATTAGTATCATTAATTTGGTTTGATCATCGTTGCACTTTTTTGTGATATCAAATGAACAGTATATATATATATATATATATATATATATATATATATATATATATATATATATACAACAGTTCTGTCTGGTTCTCAAAACTGATTGGCTCTATATCAGCACTGGTGGAAGCACTAAGGCACTCGGCCTGCGGCCTCGTACCAACGCACGCCTCCCACCAGTGCCGATATACAGCCATATCGCACTGCTACTCATGTGATATTGCTCATATATGGCATCTGAAATGTTCTTCTAGTATTAGCATTTTTCTCAGGCTCCTTGATTCAGTAATTTCACTTTTATGGCAAAGAATTGGTTATTTTCAACGCTTTTAACAAGAATTAACTGAACATAAACATAAAAGGCTGTGAATAATGCTCATTGTAAAATAAAATTAAAGATGACACTTTGAGGTATAAAATATATAATATATATATATATATATATATATATATATATATATATATTCAATTTAGGCTATGTATTTTGGTGCACTTAGACAAAACAGATTTATTAAACAGATATATTTATTCAAACAACATTTTAGTCACCAAACATATGTAGAAATTGAAAGATATCACAATTAAGTTCAAGCAAAATATTGCAAAAAATTACAACCTACAAAATTTCAGCTATTGCTTTTTCCATTTTTTGCTTCACTTGATGTTTCCTCTTTTAAAAATTTGTATTTAATATTTATCTATAACATATAAATTTGGGTGTACTAGTTTTTGGACTATTATCGTAAGTTATTTTGTTAGATAAGCTCCAGATCTGGCTTCAGTACTGACTAATCTATATGTATATGCACAAATAAAATATTGTATAGCTTCCTATTAAAGATATGATTTTATAAGAGTGGTGTACTTATATATGCTATATATAGGTATGTATGTATGAGTGAAGGAAATTATAGTTGGTCTGTTGGTTTGTTTTCTAGTCAAAGCTTAAATGTGTTACTGTATATCACATCCCAGTCTTCATCTTACATCATGGACTGTGTCCATGCTATAAAGGTTATTAGCATCTGCAAAGGATGCCAGCTAAGCATATAAGATAAACCTAAATACATCCTGAACAATTTCAGGCCACAATTTTAGTTTCCTCTTCATCCAATTTCTGCAGTTTAAACTTAACCGACGCTCTGATTTGCACAGCTAAAACAAAAAGTCAAGCTCTGCCATAGTTTATTACCCTCTTTAAACCTCTGTAATGTCCATTTTATGACCATCTTTTACAGATTCTGTAGCCACTGCTTCAGGCCCGCTGCTGGTGGAGGTGGCCAAGTCAATGGGCTCCAGCTTAGGTCTGGCTCTCTCTACCTCCATGTACTGCAATAAGCAGGTCATCATCATCGACAAGGTCAAACCAGCCAGCATCGCTGATAGGTAATTACAGCTGCGATCATTTCCCACATGCAGAAGAAGGCGACCGCTTGGGTTCTTTATGAAAGAAGCATCATTGCTCATCATGTTTCCATTGTTCTGTGAGCCCGATCAATGCGTCAAGAGGAAAGAAATGTATGCTGCAGAAACCTGATGCCCGCTTGTGGAATTTTCAAAGTTTGAAATGCATAAAGCTTAGCAACTAATTATAGAAATTCAATAACTCATCTAGCCTTCATGCCAGCAGAAAGGCCCGGAACAATAATAAGGATGGCGGAGTGCTGAGCAAGTGAAAACCTTTCCATCAGAACAGATTAACACTTTGAAGATGATTCAAGAGTTTGCTCTTGGGGAAACATTGCGAGGGAATTATTAATACATCTTATAAATCTTTTTATCGACAGGGTGCCAGTTTAGGTGCCCAGTGTGCAGCTATTGGCTTCAAAGCAATGTTTCTGATGATAAATTCAATCTAACAATATTTTTTTAGTAACTGACATAAATACTCTCTAGAACTAACTTGCTTTACTTTTCTAAAACATCTAAATATATATAGTTAAACAGATTTACTGTTTATTATATGCATTTATGTAATGAATATTCAGTAGCATTTATTTTAGGTAATCAATAATGTTTGCTTTAGTGTGAGGAATTAATCACATTATATATGATTAATTTAAAATAATGCATGCTATAAATCTGAATGTCGTTGTGTTTGTAGGTGTGGTGCTCTGCATGCAGGTGATCACATCCTATCGGTGGACGGCACAAGTATGGAGTATTGCACACTGGCCGAGGCCACCCAGCTGCTAGCTAGCGCTTCAGAACATGTCAAAATGGAGATTTTGCCGCACCACCAAACACGACTGGCTCTCAAGGGCCCTGAACATGGTAAGACACCATCGATTTCAGTTGGAATGATATAGTAGTGGTAATTCACTCTGGATTCTCACTTGATTTTTGCAATGATTTGACCCTTTTTTAGGGCTAATTCACAAAGAATGCATCGAGATTTGGATGTAACGGTCATGCATATCCATCAAAAGCATGTGTACATTGAAATACAATGAAAAAGAAGTGTATTGGAATTGAAAAACTTTGTTCGTTACGTTGACCTTTTATTCATTATTATTATTATTATTATTATTACTATTTTTATTATTATTTTTATTATTATTAATTTCTTATTACTATTTATCAGAGTTGTGACAGCATATTGTTTAATACAACATGTAGGCTAAAATACTATTTTCAAGGAGTGGACCTTAAAGGCTTAATGAAGTGATGCAGATGTGGAGAATTAATCCCCATTTATTTAGTCCAGTTTTACTCTTTCAGAAGTTTATTTTTGGTCCCATTATTGCGAGCTATTCTCTGAAATTGTACATCTTGGCTCTTTGGAGATATCTGACATCCCCTTAACGAGTTAATCGATGCTGAAAGTGATGCCATATGCATAATTGATGCCTAACATAATTCCTGCATGCCTTTGATATCAGTCCTGTAGTTCCACGATACAATACAAAACATCTTTTATTGTAAGCAGCTGTGTCTGGTCTACATGACTGTTATCTTAATATTTAAGCATTTTTACTGTAGAAATATCTGTTCTGCAGAGAAGGCTGTGCAAGGATAGGGCATCTTGCCTCCTGTCTCAAGTTGTCAGAGGTTACGTGTTGTTCAAGTGTTTCTTCTTATCACCTGACAGGTTATTATTAAGCTGTGTGCCAGCAACTGCTATGATAACAAGAGTTGACGTCAAAGTTTAGTGCAGCGATGATTATCCCAGAGAATACGTCCTCGTGACATCCAATGTGTGCCCTGTCACATCTTATCAGGAGGACAATGCTAACATTCAACACCAGAGACAAAAGCTTGAGCACTGCTGTTCTTCCTGATAGGGCTGGATTTATACCACCAAGATGCGAAAGGCCTCACTGGAACAGAATGGCCAGACCAGAGCCATATTTAAAACCACAAATGAGACTTTTGAGTAGACCTAAAAAAAAAGCCAAAAAAAAAAAACTGTAAAACACATGAAACACCCTAGGAAAAACATAGTAACAATTTAAAAACCTTCAGAATCTCTTATAGAAACACACTGGTAACCATCCAACTGCAGGTTTGAGTAGGTCACATGCGGGTGTTCAGGCTGGCCCATGGGATCAATGCGGAGACTTGTCTGTCACTGTGGTCTCTCCTCCATGACCACCACAGCATCTGCTCAGGATACGGCCTGGTCCAGGATTATGGATACCTTGGCATCATCACAGGTCTTGGATTGCATCAATGGTGCTGCACCAATCCGCCTGTCCATCTCACGTTCCATCCTTCAAAACCCCAAGATACTTAAACTAAAATTATTAACAGAATTGGTCACAAGGGGCAGCCCTGCAGGAGTGTAAAATGCACTAGAAACAAGTCTGACTTATTGCCGGCAATGCGAACCAGACTCATACTCTGTTCATACAGGCACGAAACAGCCTTTAACAGAGCACCTCTGACCCCATATTTCTCAAGCACCCTTCACAGAATGCCATGAGGGACACGGTCGAATGCCTTCTCCAAGTCCACGAAACACATGTGGACTGGTTGGGCATACTCCCATGAACCCTCGAGCACCCTGGTGAGGGTATAGCGCTGGTCCAGTGTAACACGACCTAGACAAAAACTGCATTGTTCCTCCTGGATCTCTGGTTTAACCGTCGACCGGATTCTCCTCTCCAGTACCCTTGCATAGTCTTTCCCCAGGAGGCTGAGGAGTGTGATCCCCTAGTTGAAGCACACCCTCCGGTCCCCCTTCCTAAAAATTACTATAGTATAACTATAGTCTTTTAATAATAGAATTATTAATAATAATAATAATAATAATAGTAATAATTTATTCTTTTATAGCACCTTTAAAACTTAATTCTCAAAGTGCTTTAGACAACAACAAAAAAAAAACAGATATAAAACAGTTTAGAATAACACATTGAATCATTCAGGCTAAAACATTCACAATTGATAAAACATTCAAACATCTAGAAAGATAAGCCAAAAATGCACACCTCATGAATAGGCAAGTGTAAAGTAGTGAGTTTTCAAGGACGATTTAAACCATTTATAAGATTCAAGATTTAAAAGTGTCTAATGTCATGGGGAAGAGATCGGTAAATGAGTAACACCTGCTTTTGTTGGATGTTATATACTATAATAAGTTTCTATTTAATAAAGCTTATTATTTGCAGTAAATAAGTTAACTGAACTGAACAAATATAAGATGACAAAGATAAGATTGACTTGGTTAATTAAGTTGCTTCGATTTAAAAATGAAAATTGCACAAATAGCTTAGATGTAGCTAAGCTACTTTTGCCAAGTAGCTTTTAGCCTAGCTTACTATATTTCCCAGAGGGTAGCTATTAGAGAAGTCAAGCTACATTTTAAGTAGAGTAGTTAATAGCTTGGCTCACTACATTTATCAAGTAGCTTGCCTAACACTGAACATAGCATAGTAGCATGTTTGAAAAGCAACCAAATAGTAATATTCTAAAATAAATAAATAAATTACAAGTCACATCCAAGCCACTAAAAGAAATCATGATAAAAAAATGAAACCTCAGGACTTTTTTCTTGAAAAGGAGCTTTTGCCATGTTTCAAACGACAAAAAAAGAGGTCAGAAGAACACAACCTATATGTTCTGTTCTGCTCTGCCTTTCAACCGAGCACAAACCCCCCCCCTATTGATAAATTAGAATTATTCTGCTGAACATTCGCAAGGTCAGTGGCTGAATGACCTTTAAGCTATGAACTTAATAAAAATGTGGAATAAAGCCTGGGCCCTGGGAACATAAATAATCGCAGACCCGCGCAGCATACTAATGCTCCCCATAACATGCTGTCGTAGGGCTTTTCGCAGCCCCGGTATTAGAAAACAATGAAGTGACCCGCAGGTCAGCTGGTAGGAGGTGTCTTGATTGGCTCTTAAGGAAAGGAAATTGAGTTTAGAGCACCATCCAAACACATTGACTATCCCATGCTCACTCACTGGTTCTGTGAAGACTGTCAGGCTTCGGGCATTACTATGCAGCGGCACGTCCACTATGCAGTGCGCGCACACAGACGTGGACTCTATTTCCCCAGCTAAAGCAGATTTAGTGCAGTGAAGCGTTCTGTACTAACACAGATCTAAATGCCAGGCACTGTGAAATTCCAGACAGCTGGCTAATGTCGGAAACGTCACTGCACAGACAGCTGGATGACACCGCCACGCACGTCTGCTTCACACATACATACACACTCTAGCTTGTCATCGCCGTGTTTGTGCATTCACAACAGAACGCTGGTGAGCTTCCATAAGCGCCTGTGTGTGTCACGGTGAAACATCTGAATGTGCTGATGAAAACATAAATATTGTTATTCTTCCAGTCTGCTTGCTTCCGAGGGGAACACTGAACAGAATGTTTAAGCCTGGCTAGTATGTGCATGTTTGTTTGTTTGTTGTAGTATGTATTGTGTGAATAGCATATTACCTAGGGCTGCACGATATATCATCTCAGCATCGATATTGCAATGTGATCATTCCCAATTGCAGGACATGCAGAGCTGGGTTTGTATTATAATTCATCATTCGCTTGTGTTCTTGAGGCTTGTGATTGCATAATGATTTCAAACGCATCTCGGCATAAGAAATTGTACAGTTTGTAACAATAACGCCTAATTTGATTGAATAATTATGTTTATTTTATTATTATTCAATTACTGTACCTCATTACTATTAAACTAGTAAGATTGTATATTCTTCTTTATTTATTTATAGATTGCTGATTAGATTCTATGGAGATGCATTTACATAACAGAATCATCCCAGTCAATCTAACAATCTAAATTCTTTCCCAATTAAAATATTAAGTCTTCTGGTGAAATTGTATTCATGTTGCAATATACAGTTGAACTATTAGCCCTTGAGTTTTTTTTTTCTCCCCAATTTCTGTTTAACGGAGTGATTTTTTCAACACATTTCTAAACATAATAGTTTTAATAACTCATTTCTAATAACATTTATTTTATCTTTGCCATGATGACAGTAAATATTTTTTTACTAGATATTTTTCAAGACACTTCTACTGCTTAAAGTGACATTTAAAGGCTTAACTAGGTTAATTAGGTTAACTAGGCAGGTTAGGGTAATTAGGCAAGCTATTGTGTAACGATGGTTTGTTCTGTAGACTGTAGATCGGAAAAAAATATAGCTTAAAGGGGCTAATAGTTTTGTCCGTAAAATGGTGTTTAAGAAATTAAAAACTGTTTTTATTCTAGCTAAAATAAAACAAATAAGACTTTCTCCAGAAGAAAAAATATTATTAGACAAAATTTGAACATTTCCTTGCTCTGTTAAACATAGTTTGAGAAATATTTAAAAAAGAAAAAAAATTCAAAGCGGGGCTAATAATTCTGACTTCAACTGTATATTGCAGAATAAAAATATATATATTGCAATATTACATTTTTTTCAATATCAGCAGTCCTAATATTACCGTACATATACTGTTCATACAACATTTATTAGATTTGTTTACTTGAATTACCTACTACACTTCTATAATATGTATTAAACTATTTACAAACCACATTAATCAATTTATAGAGAAACTTACACGTGTTTATAGAAATTTATTTGAATTTATATCATATTTCTCTACTAATTAATTTGTTTATATTGAACTTTTTGCAGTTTTTAATCATTTTAATTATTATGTATACCTATAAACATAAAATTAATGTTGAATTATATATGTATTATTATTAGTAGTAATTTAATAATACATTAATTTATATGAGAGCTGTATCAACCAAATTATACATTTAAATTGCTTTAAATTCTAAGTTTAAAAATGATATATAGCACATCAAGAAGTAAATATGCCAGTATTATATAATATAATATAATATAATATAATATTATATTATATTATATTATATTATATTATATTATATTATATTATATTATATTATATTATATTATATTATATTATATTATATTATATTATATTATGTTATATTATATTATATTATATTATGTTATATTATATTATAAACATAAGAACTAAAACATCCTAGAATATGTGTTTATTTTTATTGTTTAAACTATGCATATTTTACTATTAATATTATAACTTATATGATAAATAATTTATACATTTATTTATTTATAGCATTTTACAATTTCCAAAAATGAATACAATTTGAATGAAAAACACATTTATCTTATATATGGCAAGAAATGACATTATAATTGTATTTATTTTCACCTTTTGCTTTTAAAAAATATGCTTTTCTACTGTACTTGTTAGGGATGCATGATATTGAAAAAAATGTCATTGCAATATTTTTTATCTGCGATATGAATATAATTTAACAGGATATCTATTTTGAAAAAACTGATTATTTTGTAGGGGAGTGCATCTGCATAAAATATACAAAATTATATCATTTAAAGCACAGATGAAAACAATAGAACAAAGATAGAAATTAAATAAACAACATTATGTGTTTTGGGGGAGTCTAACAGTACACTCTTAGAAATAAAGGTACACAAGCTGTTACTGGGGTGGTTCCTTTTCAAAAGGTACAAATTTGTACCTAAAAGGTCCATATTAAAACCTCAAGGGTACATATTAGTACCTAAAAAGTACAAAAGTGTTCCCCTTAAAGTTTTTAGGTACTAATATATACTTGTGGGGTACCAATATGGACCCTTTAAGTACAAATGTGTACCTTTTGAAAAACTACCACCCCAGTGACAGCTCGTGTACCTTTATTTCTAAGAGTATATTGACATATAAAAAATGTCATAATCAAATGTAAAATAACAGCATCTTCTTTTTATAAATATATAATTTACATAATTTTTCTTCTATGTTGAATCATATAAACCCAATCAGTTGATTCTTATCTAATTGATAAAGCAGAAAACAGTATAATGGCTTGTGTCCAAATGGTTTAAATGAACTTGAAATGTCTTGAGCTTCTGTGATGTGACAGATTCACACATTGCGATATCAATGCTGAATCGATATATCATGCAGCCCTAGTACTCGTTCTTTCCAGCCTGTATGCTTCTGTGTCTGAAATTGTTTTATAATGTTCTACAAAATAATCCTTGAAATAATTGTTATCATAATTATTTTAAATTGTTGACACCTTTACATGCACACATTATTAAAAGACTGCAAACACTGTTAATATTTTCATTTGCACCTTCCCCTCTATGACTCACGAACCACTCTTTTTATATCTCACCGACACATACACGCATACATAATTGCAGAAGTAATGGCTCTCATCAGTCCAGGCCTGATTACCTGGATGGATTCTTCACTGTCTTTGACTCTATGCTTCTGTTTGATGCTATCATGATGATGGATCCCTGCTCTCATTCCCTACACAAAAACACCGTCCTCCTTCCCCTTTCACAGCCACTGCCCTCTAGTTTGCCCCTTTTTTCCCCTTCTCTTTTTCTGCTTTTGTACTCATTCTTTCCAGCCCATGTGCTTGTGTGTCTGAAAGCACAGCAAACATGGTGCTAAAATTAACTGTGAAACAGAAAGAAGCCAGAATAGAAAATGATCAATGCAGGTGTCCAGAGTTGCTCTCCTTGGAGGACGCTTTGTGGGGGAGAACTAGCTTCTGGTTAAGACCTTGCTATGTGAATGTTTCTTTGTGCTTGCTACTATAACTAAAAAAAATCTGTCTGCTTGTCCACCGTGAACAAGCCAAAGTCTCAGAAGATGTTGTTAGGGAGACTGCAGGTGCAGTTTTTTTGGTGATGTTTGCATTTTTTGTGGCATTGATTGCTTTTACCTGGAACATGACTTTAAGAGGGTAATTTAATCAACTAGTTTTGTTTTTTCTTGTCTCACTTTGTTGTCCTGTTTTTGTTGTGTTTTTGCATTTTTTGTTTGTTTTGTTTTTTAGATGTTTTTCCTGTTTAGAATTGTTTTTAGTTTACTTTTTGTCTTGTTTTTGTTGATTCTGTCTTAAACATTCAGTTTTTCTTCTTTATTTTTTTATTTTTTTAGCTTTTTTTGTATTGTTTCGTGTTTTTATCTGTTTTATATTTTGTTTATAGTTTTTGTTCTCATTTGTTTAGTTTTCCTTGAACAATGTCCTATGTATAAAAACATTCTTCAGTACATCTTGTCTTTTTTATGGACAAAAAATTGGATCTGTATGATTCTTCACTTTTGAGTGTACACTCCCTGACAAAAGTCTTTTCGCCTATCCAAGTTTTAAGAACAACAAATAATAACTAGATAATATCAGAAGTGGCTTATGAAAGGCAAAGGCAAATATGATCATGCCTTGATGTTAAATAATTTAATTAGGACAGTAAGGTCTAACTTTATCTTACACCAGACATGCTTAATAATGTTCATGTCTGGTGACTGGGCTGGCCAGTCCTGGAGCACCTTGATCTTGCTTTCAGGAACTTTGATGTGGAGGCTGAAGTATGAGAAGGAGCGCTATCCTGCTGAAGAATTTGCCCTCTCCTGTGGTTTGTTATGTAATGGGCAGCACAAATGTCTTGATACCTCAGGCTGTTGATGTTGCCATCCACTCTCGCATGCCCCCATACTGAATCTTGGGTCCATGCGGGTTCAAATAGGTCTTCTGTGGTATTTGTGATGATTGGGATGCAATTCAACAGATTCTGCCACTTTTCTAAATGATCAACTTAAAGTCAAGTTATTATTTGTTGTTCTTAACACTAGGATCAATGGCAAGACTTTTGTCTGGTAGTGAAAATGTGAAATGTTTAATATTTTTATTGTTGTGCTAATAAATAAAACCCTGCTAGAAAGTAGACTGCTAAATAAATATTTCAAACACGATTTCATTAATCATGTTTAACAGTAATGGTTTTGCCCCAGGGTTAACCACAGCTTGAAAAGCTTTAAAACTGTCTGTCCTACATGTTTGTTCCTGCTCACCTCCTCCCTTTCTCTCCTCTCTGTGTGCTCAGTCAAGGTGCAAAGGAGTACCCGGCCATTGCCCTGGGAATCCGGAACCAACAACAACAGCAACTTCCTTCCCTATCAACACTATAACACCTACCACCCCGACCAGTCCCACAGCCAGGCCAAGAAAACCTCTCCAAGCAACCCCCGTAATGTTTCTTCCCTTTTTCCTTCATCCTCATGTGTCCCTCCTTGTCTATCATTAATATTAGAGAGAAAAAGATTCATTCCATTATTTTGTGAAGTTTATTTATAAGCTAATTTCGAGAGGATCACGTGCTTATGATTGTTCTCAGCTGTTCCAGTATTAGCTCATGATCGATTATCCAATCAGATGTTTCCTAACTCACCATAAATAACAAGAGTTTTCTTATCTCAATATGTTCATCTTGAAGAAATTCCCCCACCCACCCTTACTTTCCCTTCTTTCCATATGGGCGACACGGCGGCCCAGTGACTAGCACTGTTGCCTCATAGCAAGAATGCCTCTGCTTTAAGTCCCTACTAAACCAGATAATATTTCTGTGTGGATTTTCGCTTGTTCTCCCTGTGCTCGTGTGAGTTTTTCCCAGGTTCCCCAGTTTCCTCCCACAGTCCAAATAACATGCACTCTAAGTAAATTGAACCCACAAAATTGATACCATAGTCAATCTCTTAGCGAGTACACCTATCCTCAGTCATCCATATCCATCTTTTAGCTACAATTATGTCGGGGGAGTTCATTGAGATCTACCTGAGCTCAAACTCCCCTCGAACAGGAGGGAGCCCAGTGCTCGGGGATCTCACAAGCTCAGAGCTTTCTCCCGGGACAGCATGCCAAACAAGCTTTTATTATCAATCATCAGCAAAGTATGAACTCTTGAAATGGGTTGTGGTTGTGTGTGTGTTCATTGTTTAACAAAAAGTCAAGGTATAATATCTTAAAACAGACCTTTTGATGGTAATCAATTACAGGAAAACATACTTGAGCCTCACATCATACCTGTCAACATTGGGATGTAAAAATACGGAATACGCTTAAGTTGAAAATAAAATGAAAGGTAAAATAAAATAAAAATTAGCCTGTTAAAATCAATGACTTATTCAGAAATTAATTAAGTATGTGAGAAAATAAACACTCTTTTAATTTAATTTAGTTATGTTATTTAGTGAAGAGTGGCGAATCTTTCATTTTTAACCACTGTTTTGTTTGAGAACAGAGGTCCAATCCACAAATCTATAATGAAAGCATTAGATTACTTTAGTAACTGTTCATGCTAATTTAAGACAAAATTATTAGTGCTTATAATAAACCAAGCAGGACGGACATGTTTACATAGCCTACTGTATTTCAAGTGTATTTGTCTGTTTGAAACACCCAAATCACAAAGTGTCCACTTTCACTCCTCTTCAAATCGCGTGTACAGAAGCTGATCTGGGAAATGTGTGTTTAAAAAAAACACTTGAGCATCACATATGGAATCCCATGTTTTAAAATGCCACACTTGGAACACTTGTGAAAAATGTGGTACACTATTAGTACATATATGGAATGTTGGTGGAACCCTTGGAGCACTTGTGAAAATTATGGAACACACAAGGAACATGTGAGTGGATGCATTGGACACTGGTGGAACATAAATGGAACAGAATGGATCATACATTTCTGGGGTTTGGAATATATTCATGTGGGGGGAATTTTTCCAAAACCATGTTTCATGTGTTTTCCCATGTGATCCAAGTCTATTTCATGTGTGTTCCATATTTTCCACATCTTTTTCGTTTTATGTGTTCCAAATCTGTTTTGTTATTGTGGTTTCAGTTTCATGTCTGTTTTGCATCTTTTACATGTTTTTTTGGCATTCCATGTGTGTTCCACATGTGATATATTATGTCATTGCAACGTTGCCAAGTTAAGAGGGCACATCATGATACAATCAAGTACGATGCAATCCTGGATTAACATCTATGTTGATCCTGGAACATCATTTTTGTTCGAAAATGTAATCCATACTTATTTTCTACCCCTAAACCCAACCATAACTGTACATTATTCCCAAAATCAGAGCGGACAAATGGTGGGATAACAATCATGTAGGAGTGCATAAGCTTAACCATTACCCTACACTTAACATAAACGGTAAACATATCCCTTAATTCTGATTGGCTGATAGGAATGTTGTTCCAGGATCAACAGATGTAAATCCAGGAACATGTCCTACTTGGTAAAATCAGGTTGGTGGCTCAGGAGAAGCCAATGTCTGTGAGAATACTGTATCTAAAGCTGAAGATACAATATGTAAACATTCTTAAATGATGATTGTTATCATTATTTACCCACAGATATACTTTATGTATGTATTCATGCGTTTAATTAACTGTAAGTGGCTCTTGAACTAATTTAAACAGTTTGCATTGCAAGCTGATCATGCATTTTCAGCCAGAGGTTCTCTTAATGCACACATTTTTGCAGAATATAGAACCTAGACATTTAAGCTTTACACTAGACAGCAATGTGGTGTGGAATACAGGATTGTATTCTTTAGAATGTCTCATTTGATAAAGCAGTTTTTGTTTTTGTCTTTTTTACTGCGCTTTTATTTGATCTCTTTGGAAAACAGAGCAGAACTAATTTGTTCCCCGGCTGTTTCCTTGTCTCTAAACTATGCTGAGGCTAAAGACTGTTTTTCTCTCTCTCCACTGCTCTCTTCCTCCGTATTATATCTGGCCTTTATTCTCCATCTGTGGGTGTAGCTGAGCTCTATTCTACCAGAGGCGATAGCACATTACGGCAAAGCTCAGAGTCACCGTACAAAGGCAGAGGAGCGCTGAGCCATTCAGTGTGGTTTTCTGTTGTGCAGAAGATACACAGTGAATCCAGAGGACATCTTTGTGGTGCCATTCTTTAGGGGATATGGAACATAATCCGTGTTAAGGAAGCAATATTGCACTATTGACATTCCAGCAACTCGACCTGATCGTTTCTCCCTGTGCGGTCATGGGTGAACTTCATGGTCTTCAAGTACATTCCTGGACGTGAAGTCAATGATAATTGAAATCCCGAGGTCATGGGCTTGCTCTCTAATTGGCTGATAAGATGGGGAGATTGTCACTTGCCACAAAAGCGCTCCTCATTTGTGTTTTTAGCTCATGCGTTTCCACTTTCAGCGGCCTTACAGAGTCTGATTTGATTATACGGACTCATTACTATAAATTCCAGCCATCAGAGCTCTATTGATCTTTTTTTTTTTTGCTGGCGCTTTGTGCATTTCAAGGGCACTGAGAGACTGTTAGATATGACCTGGTCTCGTTCTTTCGCTTTGACAGTGATTGCAGCATTAAAGCAATTGGAAGTTGTTCATTTTTAGTGCAAGCTGGCGATGTGATTGACAAGGGCCTACCGACGATACAACCAAGTTCAGCTTAGTTTAATGCTAATGATGTCAGTGATCCCAAACTGGAATGAGGGCCTTTAAAAAGGATTCATATTTATTTTTTAAATATAATGACAGCCATATCTTTTCATGAGTAAAGCAGGTTTACAATGAGAAACATGTTTGATTACAAGGGCCCTATCAAACACCCGGTGCAATAAGGCGCAAGACGTGTTTGGCATGATTTGTTGCTATTTTCAGACCAGCGCCACATTCTTTAAATAGCAAATCTATTAGCACCTGTTTGTGGACTCATGGGTGTGCTGGTCTAAAATGCTATCTTGAAGAACTTAAAATAGACCACGCCTTTGACCAACTGAACACTGGTCTAGAGTCCAGCGCAGAGGGTGTTAGTTATGTGCCTATGCAGGTTCAAATGGTTATTGTAATGAGCAGGTTATACTTGTTTTATTAAAAACAAGTTTATATTTGTCCACCTGTCAGGTTTTGGAGGCGTATCTGTAATGATATAGGGTATAAGAATAAGATGTGTATTTGGATATAACTTATTATTGTCTATTTATTTGTTTGCTGCAGATTAGAACTGAATTTAGAAATAGTTCTGAAACAAATCTTTGTGCTTAACAAATGAAATTAAATATGTAGGCTAATGGTTGTCTTCAGTGGAATGAGTACAACACCATTTCCTTGCTCCACGAAAGTAAAAAAGTAACGTAAAGAGGCCAAATGGAGGAGGCTCATTCGTTATCCTCACACTGCATATGGTCTGTTTAACTCTGTTTTCTCGCCTTCAGTTTTTCCACTCACAAAGTCTGTCATGTAAATAGCGAATGGCTCTTAAAGAGAATGGGAGATGAGACTCTGATTGGTTAAATGCACATTATACTCAAAACACACTGATAACTCATTAAGAGAATAAGCACAACCCTGTTAGACCATGCGCCAGTGATAGATAAAGATAAGATAAAGCCCAATGTGTTTTATATAACTCACTATTTATAGAAAATGTATTACCTATTAAACAATAAAGTATAATCCGTTTGTTAGGTAAGCCAGCGCTTAAACTATGGGGAGGCTCAACTAATGGTAATGTTAAACGTTTATAAATGTGTAATATGCCTAAAAAGTGTCATAAACAAACGTTTTCTCATTTCAAATGAGTGGCGGCATAGACTTGGCCTAAACATATCCCTTAATATGAATCAACTTAACAAGTGGATATAACAGAAGAATTAAGTAAAAAGCAAATATGTTTTTTTTTATAAATATTTCTAGCTTTTTTGTCCATCAATCTCTCTTTTAGTTTAATACTAAGGCTGATTATAGGAAATAAATAACTGATTAATCTCATGCATTTCATCTAGCCTCTAGCTGAATTATATGTTTAAAAAAAGTGTACAAAGAATGAAATCCAATTTAATTGTAATTAAATCAAATCTATAATGTGAATAAGATCAAATGTAATGAAATGTTAAATTGAAATTTAACAGTTTTATATTACATCAATCCGTCCCTCCAGGGTTTCGATGAACATTTGAATGAATGTTTGTATTTTTACAGCAAAGCACAAGAATGGAAGCAAATAATGCAAAGTTTTGAGAAAAAACCTCAAACAAACAGTCATTTTAGACTTTAAATATGACAAAATGTCCTTGCTGTCCTTTGCAAATCCTTGAGTGACTTATTTATATTATACTATATAAACATCAATATTGATTATATGCATTTTCATAAACCTACTGAAAAAAACCTGCTGACTTCTGTTTGAAAACCCTTGCAGCAACCAGTTATCCAACGACCTGACAACCTGGAGCGATTGAACTGTTTTGGCCCTTATTTCACACATATGATTGAATTTTTAGGTTAGCAACATGGCTAAAACCGCTTGAGGCACCTTTTCTCACCTTTGCAGTCGTGTCTCACATTCTCCATTCAGTAGGGTCATAAAGATGCCATGGGCACTTCAATGCCTGGTGGCTTCACATAATTTACTGTCATTCCATCAATACGTTTTAGTCACAGTCTTTTTTTTTTCTTTTTCTGGATTATATATATATCGGTCCCCTTTGGTTGAGTGAGTTCAAAGGCTTTTCCCATCTTTAATAAATGTGTCCTTGATATGCGTGAAAGCGCAAAAACTCTCCCAAGAATTGTATTACTTAATTTGCCTTTCTGTTTCCCTAAGGACAAATTAGCCAGTACTGCTGGACATTAGCTCCATAATGTTTGCATTAGGAAGAGCTCATCCTTTACTATGCGCAAGTGGAGCAGAAGGCTTTAATGTGGCTCTTAAATCTGTATATGGTTTAGTGTTTTTATTTTAAATGAGAGACAAACAGAATTTCTATTAATTTGCCAAGAGCAGACAAACTGTTTCAAACAGCAAAGCAAAAATAAGACTGTAATCTGCTCTAATCCTGCCATGTTTTCAGCATCACCAGTGTCCCGGCCAAATAAAACATATTTTTATAGAGTAGTAATGCTCTGCCAGTTGGGATTTGTGTGAGTGTGCGAGCGCTAAAATAATGGCTTTGAAGCTTTCTATCTGATCACTATGAATTCGCTTCTTAGTGGTTGCTCCGTGATAAGAAGTAGCTTTTAGGCATTGGGAGTATTTTTAGACACGTGCTTTGATGAAGACTTACCACCGTTCACACTGTGTCAAACACGAGGGCACAGTCTGCAGCTCTTTGATTTGTTTTGTGCATTTCCTCGACGGGTGACAAAACCGTGGCTCTTATTTTCAGTATACCTGTTGTTTGAGTATTGCTAGAAAACGTCAAGATACAGTGGGGTTGAAAAGTTCAGTTGGGAATATGGGGTTTGAATGTTTAAAGCGTTAAAAGTATACGGAAAATGGCATTCTGCACTATTTTTATTCACTAATCAAAGTAAATTGTCGTTCGGTGTCAGATGTTCTTTCACTGAAACTCACAACATGAAATACAACTAATAACACAGCTGTCGAGTCTGTATATCTGAGGGAATTGACGTACCGGTAGTGTTTTGGATGTCGCTTGGATGTTTATTCCTAGTAGATTTTCTGTACAGTTGAAATTTTTTGCCCTTCTGTGAAATTAAATCTTTATCAGATATTATGTGCTGTTTAACAGTTTACATTTCTTTTCAAAACATTTTCAAACATAATAATTTTCTAATAATTTACTAATTTCTATTCCTTTCCATTTCTGTTGTCTTTACAAGATACTACTGTTAAGCTTAAAGTGCAATTTAAAGGCTTATAACTACACTGTAAAACCCAACAGTCAACTTTGTCACATGAAATGAGTTAATTCAACTCAGGGCGAAGCAGTAGCGCAGTAGGTAGTGCTGTCGCCTCACAGCAAGAAGGTCGCTGAGTCGGCCTCGGGTCAGTTGGCGTTTCTTTGTGGAGTATGCATTTTCTGCCTGCATTCGCATGGGTTTCCTCCGGGTGCTCCGGTTTCCCCCAAAGTCCAAAGACATGTCGTACAGGTGAATTGGGTAATCTAAATTGTCTGTAGTGTGTGTGTGTGTGTGTGTGTGTGTGTGAATGTGTGTGGATGTTTCCCAGAGATGTGTTGCGCATGGAAGGGCATCCGCTGCATAAAAACTTGCTGGATAAGTTGGAGGTTCATTCCGCTGTGGCGACCCCGGATTAATAAAGGGACTAAGCCGACAAGAAAATGAATGAATGAATGAATGAATAATTCGATTCATTTGAAAAGAGTTTTGAACTCAGTGTTGAAGGTAATAAGTTAATAAAATATCTCATTACTTCAACTTAAATGGAGTAAGTTCACATTACTCATAGATTTTAGTTTTTTAACTAACTGGTTTGTAGCAATCGGTTTCCTCAAATGATTTGAGTTGTCTTAACTTATTGGGTTTTACAGTACTCAGTTGGTTTGGGTTCTCTTCATGTATTTGGTTTTACTGTGCTCAAATGGATTTATTTACTTATATTAATTAAGTTCACAATGCTCATTAGGGTTAGTTTTTGAACTTATATGGTTTGTTGCAATCGGTTTCCTCAAATGGTTTGAGTTACTTTAACTTTTTGGGTATTACAGTGTAGGTTAATTGTTAACTAGGCAAGTTAGGTTAATTGTCAAGTCATTGGACAACAGTGGATTCATTCAATGAAAAAAAAATCTGAAAGAGGCTAATAATGTCCACCTTATTATTTTTAATATACAAACTGCTGTTATTTTAGCCAAATTAAAAGAAACAATACTTTGTCCAGAAGAAAAAAATATTATAGGAAAAAGCATGAACATTTCCTTGCTCTGTTAATCATGACTTAAAATGTTGACAAAGAAATTTACAGAGGGGCTTATACTTTAGCCTTAAATTTTGAAAGATTTATACTGAAAATGTAATAAAAAATGTTTCGGAAACAATTTAAACTAATTGATTTATTTGTTTATGATGTATATTTGAATTAATTTATTTTAAATAAATAATTTAAAATATTTTTAAAATAATCTTTATTTAAAAATATTATTTATCTGATAATATTTTTATTTCTGGAGAAAGTCTTAATTGTTTTATTTTAGCTAGAATAAAAGCTGTTTTTAATTTTTTAAAATTCATTTTAAGGATAAAATGTTTAGCCCCTTTAATCAAAATCTTTTACAATAGTCTACAGAACAAACCATCATTATACAATAACTTGCCTAATTACCCTAACCTGCCTAGTTAACCTAATTAACCTAGTTCGGCCTTTAAATGTCACTCTAAGGTATATAAAAGTGTCTTGAAAAATATCTAGTCAAACTTTATTTACAGTCATCATGGCAAAGATAAAATAAATCGGTTATCAGAAATGAGTTATTAAAACTATTATGTTTAGAAATGTGTTGAAAAAAATCTCTCTGTTAAACAGAAATTGGGGAAAAAAATTAACAGGGCTGCTTATAATTCAGGGGGCTAATAATTCTGACTTAAACTGTATATACAACCAAAGCTTTCAGATTTGTCCATATTATAGTCAAATGACTCCATTAAGTAGAGTATAAATTGCAGTCTGGATGCCAGGCATAACCACACCAAAGTTTGTACATTTTAAAACAAAAATATAGCCACATAGACTTTTTTTCTTGAAATAAACCATTGAAAGATGATAATGAGAGTTTTTGCTAAAACGTTTTTCTCTTTCCCCCCACACAGCTCTGGGTTCATCGTTCTCTCCCACTTCCATGAGTGCCTACAGTCTGAGCTCACTCAACATGAACACGCTGCCACGCACCATGTATCCCACAAGTCCCCGCGGCACCATGATGAGACGCAAACTGAAGAAGAAAGACTACAAGAGCTCAAGTACGTTTGATGCAGTCGAGCTGAATCTAAGAGATCAATCCTGAATCATTTTTTATTGATCAAGAAACAAAGCATTTCAAACCCATTTCAAAAAGAAAAGCTTCATTTTTAGCAACTCACCAAAAAATGACTCACCCTCACATCATTTCAAACCCCTGTGGCTTATTTTCTTTGATTGAACACAAAAGAAGGCTTTAAGGCTACAAACTGCATGCAAAACCCACAAAAAAAGTGGTCTATACAACTAATTGCTCCAATTGAATCAGCTCGAGAGTTGAATTGATATGGGAATGAATCATTTGGTTTTGTGAACTGGTTCAGCAGTTTGACTCCAAACAACTTTTCTTTCCAGTGAATAGATACTTGAATTTAATTCATTTCCACTTTGTCCATTGCATGGAGTACTTCTAGGATGCTTTTATGGTGCCTTTGCACCCTTTTTGAAGCTTGAAAGCCATTATTTTCAAACAGTTTGAGTGCAAACGGATGGAATAGGGTCTTTTGGTCACAGTTTTTTTTTAAGTACTACTTTAACCATCATGTGCTTTCTAAAAATTGTCATGAAGTGCACAGCCTTCTTTTTTCTGTCTGTACAGTACAATAAATACAAATATGCAGAAAGGATAAAAGCCTACATATTGTACTGTAGAACAGCAGATTGTGGTCTCTGTATAGCAAGACAATTTAACATTTAATCTAAAAACTGTACTAGTATCTGTATTCATGCTACTAGTACATATTTTTAACCACTAGTATCTTCCCCATTCAACGGTACTTTATTTATTCATCAGTTAGTAGTTCTTATTTTTTAGGAACTAGAACCTTTTTAATCTTTTAATACACATTCAATAGATACTAGTTCTGATGTATTAGATGTTAGTACTTCATTAAATAGTTACTATCCAAGCACTAGTACCGTATGACAGTATACTTTCATTTATTTAATTAAATGTTAAAACATCTTGCCAAAGTCTTGGCCCAGATTCACTTTGATTCATTCTTTAAACCTTTCATTTGGATCAGAATGGCTGAAGTAAACAGAAAACGGCTTGGTTATTGATTTCCTGTAAAACTTCTCTAATGTATCTGCACCTCCATGCAGGCTCTGGCCAGGACTCGTCTTGACTTTAATATCAGGTTTTGAATTTTTATAGCTGCCTGCTCCATTCCTTGTGCAAAGCACAAGTCAGGAGGTTGAAAGTACCGCCCACAGTGATTCAGAAACCAACCTTCATAAATGCCACATTATGCAAAACGCATGCAAGTACGCAAAGTGAAGCTTGGTCAAGGCGCTCAAAGAAATAAAAATCCACCATAAATGCAACAAGGTTGTTCAGTATTAAAGAAGGGGCACGCGTCTGTTATTCTTTCACTCTCTGCTATGATAGTCTGTCTTTATCTGGATATTCAGACCTCTTGCACATGGTTTCCGTCTCTCCCCTCACCACTGGGCTTGAATCTGAATAAGATCAGCGAGTTTGATAGCACTTACCTGAACTGAACACATTCAGTGTTCTTTTGCCATATCTTACGTCGCTAAGCGAAAGAGGGAAATTACACTTCTGGCTAGCCAGTAATTAGATCCTGAAAGATATTTCATATCCTTCAAGTGAGCCGCGTAGCTGTCGCCGCCTCTGCCGCAGATAATTACCTGAGCATGCTTTCAGACTATGAGGGGGTGTTTATCTGCAGCCTTTGTCAACAGGACCAATAAACAAACCCTGGCACTGGAAAATGGTTAATCAGCGGCCCACATCGCTGACCGTGCTCACAGTTCAACTTCCAGCAAACGGCTTGTTTGCGACTTTCTGTTCTCCGTTGTTTTTGTATCCATTGTTGTTGTTGTTGTTGATTATTGAGGATCTCAGAGGAAGTGGAGTTTGGACAGCTGAGAAAGAGAAACTGACTAAGAAAGTGATGATTAAGATGCAGGATGGGGTCATGTTGAATGAGGCCAACCAAAACTGTCTGCATGAAATCAAAAGTTACAATGTTTTTTTTTTATCAGCGCACATTGTACTAGTTAATCGACTGAAAAAAATTTTATTTAATTTTTAAAGATTACTAATTTATTTAGTAATCTTCAATTAAAGTCTGACCATTAGATTCCATGTGTGGATTGACAGTCCTTCTCTGTTGATGTCAGTTTGACGTCTTCAGCCACAATACTCTTAACCACACCTCTATTACTTTTAATTATTTATGATGTGCAAAATAAAAGCCCATACTTTATATTGTGTTTCAGTTGGAAGTACATTAACATACTGAAATAAAAGTTCCAAAGTTGGACTTAAAATTACTGTACAATAATTAATATCGATATTGATGGATTCAACTGTAAACTTAACTAATAAATATATAAAACGTGACAAGTAACTAAAATAAGTTAAAGCACTAATTATTAAAGGATTTTAAATGCATGATGTGGGGGCAAAGAACCACCCGACGTAAAGTTGAAATGGGTGTGATTACTATGCTTATTCCATGGTCATTTACCAATTAATACACAATAAAAGTAGTATTTGACTTGATTTTAATCAGTTATGTCAAATTAGAACATGCATTGATTCAGTCATAGGCAGACAGAGATGGAGCATTTGAAAGAGAGATCTTGTGTGCATGTAAATGGCATGAGCATATCTAATAGCTCATAATATATTGTGTTGGTTACTACTCTATACAAATGTTTTTTAAGCATATTGGTGAGTTGGTTGATCTCCATTGGCTCTTGGTGAAGCGCAGGTCAGTGTACTCGATTGGCTACTACAAATGCTCAAGGGCTATGTAATTCAAAGTGTGATTAAAACTGATTGGAACTACCTGTGCGTTAAACGACTTTATTGTATGCCAGCCAATCAGAATCAAGAATTTCAACAGTCCATTGAAAACGTAAATAAATCAATAATAAATAAACTGATTGGAGTTATTTCATAGCCTAAAATTGTACAAATCGAATCAAAACAAAGTAGAAGGATTGGGCATGTTAGAAACTAGGGTAACACTTTAAAATAAGGTTCATTAGTTAATGCATTTACTAACATGAACTAATCATGAACAATGATGTACAGCATTTATTAATCATAATTGAACATTTACTAATGCATTATTAACATCCAAGTCCATGCTTGTTAACATTAGTTAATGCAACGAGTTAACATGAACTAACAAATTTTCATTAACCAACGTTAACTAACATGAACAAATACAGTAGTAAATGTATTGTTCATTGTTTGTTCATGTTGGTAAATGCATTAATTAACATTAACTAATGAACCTTATTGTAAAGTGTGACAGAAACTAGTTATATACATTGGAAATGTTGAGAACAAACACTGAGAAATGTCTTGAAATAAATCATCTGGACAGTTTCAATAGCTGTGATAATCATAGTTTAAGCATCATAGCCACATTACCACCATGGGTGTGCAATTTGTATTATTCTATTAAGGTTGGATAACATTTCTTCAAATAAACAGTTATTTAGAGCAATTTTGGTCAGCATGATAAATCTTTTAATTTGTGGTCGAGTTATTCCACCAAATATTGATTTCTTATCTCCTCTGAAGTTAAAACATTGGCACCATGGTGTCAGAAATTGCATGTAAACATGGCAATTATTTTACCTTTAAAAAAAAGTCTCCTAATGACAAATTATTTTATTTTAAATTAGTATTTGCAAGTTAAATACAAAAATAGCATAGTAAATATTATGATAGTAATATTATTATTAATACTCAGGATCTGGAATCAAGTCTTTTGACACCAATACATTTGACAGCCCCACTGGCACAAAGTCCCCCTACAAATAGCTTGCTTAGTTGTCTTGTTAAACTGGGATGTGAGACGAATGTGAGCTTAAAAAGCCAAAAATACTTTGCCTAATTAAACTGTCCGGTTTTTAGTCAGACTTTGAAGTGTTTAACTTACTACGACTTGGCTGCACTTATTCTGAACATCACATTTAATAGCTGCTCCTCCTGCAATGCCCACCGCTCGTGTTTGGCAAATGTACCTGCCGCGCAAAAATAGAGCATCTTGTCTATTACACTAATTTATTTCCAGTTTTACTGCCATGAGCATGTGCGTGGCCCTTCATACACGCCGTTTGTTTAGAAAAATGATTTCATAATGGGTCTGTAATAGTTGTATTGAGCCTTTTCTCAGCCCTGATTTCACTCTAACTCATGAAAACATGATTAATCAGAGGAGCGCACGAGAGGGTGATATATCAAAATGAACAATATTCATAGATAAAAAGGCAAATGCTGCAGACCGGCTGTTTTGTCCTATAAATGCAGTTACTATGCGGCGTTAAAAAAGATTTGCTGGTCTTGGTCTTTTTAGAAGAGCATTTTATTTTTGCTGGTCATGTTAGGAAAACCAGCTGTCCAGCCAAATAAACAACAGCTTGGAAAGACTAGGAGGTCATCTTTAAACTAAGACTAATAAACCAGGTTTAAGTTAACTGAAAACAAACATCTGTTAATTAACAGCATTAACAGCTTTATTAATGTTTTGAATTGCACTATAGCACATTGGCATCTGCTCTTACAGCTTTCGATGATGAAAATTTAACTGTGAAGTTCATATACAACGGGATAAATAAGTATTGAACAAGGCATGTTTTTTTTCCAGGGAAATTTATGAAAAACAAAAGAAGTTGTTGACATGGAATTTAACCCGATTTTGGTAAAAACCCAAACAATACAAAAATAAAAATAAAACAAAACCAAAAATCTAAAAAATACTTGTGTAATGATGAAATGACACAATGAAAAAGTACTGAACTACTGAAAGTATTTAATACTTTTATATAAAATATATATTTTTTTTAGTGATGGCAGCTTAAAGATGCTGTATTTTCTATTGGATTCAGTTGGTTGATTGGCTGGGCATTCTACAGCTTGATTTCCTTTCTCTGAAAGCATTTGAAAGTTTTCTTATCTGTGTTTTGGATCATTGTCTTGCTGAAATATTCACTCTGGTTTCCTCTTCATCAT